GGATGAGCTTGGATTTGGGTATGTACATATACTTTTCCTTTTTCCTATATGAGCATTATTTGACTCCAATGAGAAATAGAATTAAAGCAAAAGGGAACTAGTAGTTTACTGTTTTAATCGGGCCAGAGCAAAGAACAAGCATATAGTATAATGGTACAAACTTCAGGATGTGGTACCTGGCTGTTGAATGTTGTAATTTGCTCTGGCTGTATGAGAATTATGAGATAATTGCCAACTTTACTTTCTGTTTTTCGCAAGAGAGAATCAGGTGTGGGGTTTAATTGGCAGCATGGTTTAAAAAGGCGGTAGTGAGGCGCATGTAGTATGCCTCGAGGTGGTATTTTTGAGACTAAAAATATGAGGTGCACGCCTCAAGGCACGCGTCTCATTTAAAATTTGATTTTCCATACTTCTTAATCTGCAACATCTCTTCAATATCCCCACATCATTGTCAAATCTTCATATAACAGTACACTATACCCAGATTTATGTTGTTCCACATTTTAGGCCTTTTTTTAGTTTAAGCTGCTTCTTTTTTTCCATTGCAAATGGAGTGATTTCTAACTTCTATAATACTTTTTTTTTTTGCTAAACATCTTTTTTTTTTAGGTGGACTATATCTCTGCCTTAGTACTTAGTTTCGTCTTTTTAAACGTTGATTTGCAGAGTATCAGGGTATGTGCTGATGCATTATTCCAATAATGATTCAGGATGACAGGGGAAAATGTGAATTTTGGAACTCCAACTAACCCCCAAAAGCCTTCTAGTATTCCAGGAGGCTCATCTAGTGGATCAGCAGTAGCCGTCGCAGCTGAGCTCGTTGATTTTGCTATTGGTATGGTCTTTTTGTTTTGCTTAAGATGGAAATGCACAATTTGTACCTGACAGTTCCGAGTGTATGTTAAATGTTTGTTTGTTTTATCTTCTACTTTTTTCCGGCACGTGTATTTGCCCTTGTGACTCTAGTTTAGCATATACACGTTTTGACCTTTGTCATTTTTTTTTCAAAAATTCCTGTCTTATTACAAATGCTTTGGTGGAATATAATGAATGCTGCTTAAAGGAGTATTCATTCGGTCAACTTTTCATTCTCATTTATTATGTTGATTATAATTTCAGGTACTGACACTATTGGTTGTATAAGAATGCCAGCGTCATTTTGTGGCGTACTTGGGTTCAGACCATCTCATGGGCTTGTATCTACACTTGGCGTTCTGCCAAATTCACAAAGTTTAGATACCGTTGGTATGTATTTATGATTTTAACGTCTCTATCAAGATGGAATGAAATTTAATTGCTTAATTTCTATTCTAACAATTAGATATATTTGTATTTTAATGAGAAGGATGAGTAAAGCTGTCGTGTAGATGAGCTGATTCTCTTGATTAGAACAGTGAACAAGATTGATTCATTTCTTTATTTCTTTACTTTTTGCATCTTTTATCATTTTACTTTAAAGATATGTTTTACCAGATTGAGAATTCAGCACTTTCTTTTCCCTGTTCCTTACAAAATGTAATTAATAAATTGGTTTTCTGTCATCCAATGTTTTCTTTCTCAGCAAGTACTATTTTTTCAGGATGGTTTGCTCGTGAGCCATCTGTTCTGCGTAGTGTGGGACACATTCTACTTCAGTTAAAACCATTGGAACCTAAGAGGATGAGGAAGTTTATCGTAGCCGATGATCTTTTCCAGCTTTCCAAGGTTCCCATGCAGATGACAGTATATGCTGTAAGCAAAGTAACAGAGAAGTTATCCGGCTGTAAGTTGCAATTTTCTTCTCTGCAGAAGAATGTTTTCTGTTCCCAATTTTGATTATTTGATATTGTCCCAAGGAGCTTCTCTTTGTTTTCATTGGTCTGGTGGTATTTCAAATATTTACCGGAATAAGTAAAGTTTCAATATATTTCCTTCATTTCTGATTATGCAGACCAAACACCCAATCATATGAATTTTGGGCAGTACATTGCTTCTAAAGTGCCCAGTCTAAAAGTCTTTCTTGAAGAATCAACAAACCAGCAAAATGGAATATCTACTTTGAAAGCACTCTCTTTTGCAATGTTTCTACTGCAAAGGTATCACTTAAGTAGTTGAATATATTCGATCCATTGTTCTGACTCTGATACTAACAATCATGCTAACTTAAATTACTGTGGTGCATGGCCCGTGAATCATCTCTATAGCCAATTTTATAAATGATGAGCTATAATTTATCAACTTATGACTTCAAGTTTGAGCATGTTTTTGAAATAGCTTCATCACCCCTTCCCTCCCAATGAAAAAAGAAAAGAAAAATGAGAAAATGTCCCTTTTCCTTTAATGAAAGGATCAATCTTCACCTTCTTTTTCAAACTGAGATATTGGTTTCTTTCCAGCTTATGGGATGTTGCTTTTCAGATACGAATTTAAAACAAATTATGAAGAGTGGATCAAATCGGTCAAACCCAAGTTTGGCCCTGATGTCTCTGATTATGTTCAGGCAGCAATCACCACAGCACCTGATAGCGTAAAAAATCTATATAAAGTTAGAACAGAAATGCGAGCCGCCCTGCAAAGCCTCTTGAAGGTACTGGTTACTATTTTCAATACCATCAAACCGTCCTTTGCTTTTGGAGATTGGCGGGAGAAGTTCGGCTTATTTTGGAATTGTTTTCATGAATATCAGAACATATACTGTTTGGCTTTTGAGTATTATTTTGAAGAAAAAAATTATTTGTGAACTTTCACTAGGGCACAATTTGGTGCTAGATGTCTTGCATATAAAAATCATTCTACGCCAAACGCTTAAATTTCCTTTTCCATTGCTAATCCTTACTGCAGTTTGATGTTGTCCGACTCTCACGCACAGACGCACTATAGTAATGCTTTTAGTTGTTCAAGTCACGTCCTTCACCGTGCAGGCACCAACCCTCTACCTGCTGCTCTCACTGGCACAGTAATTTCCAGTGCAAATTTTTACTGTGGGCTCAATTGCACTCATCACTGTAGTTTCCTTTCTTTTTCTCCCTTTTGCCTTCATGTTTGTAATTTAATGTCCATAATTTGTTAATCTTTTGAAGCTTTCTTGTAATGATGCTTCTGTTGCCTATAGCTTCAGAATTTTGATTGGTTAAAATGAGCTCTGCAGATCTCCACTACTAGAAACAATAACTTTAATTATTGCCAACACCAATCTGAATTTATACCCTCCTCTGACCTATGGGCATTCATCTGCTGATGAAGTGGCCCTCTGAATCTAAATATTGTAACGTGAACATAGAGGTATAGAAGAATAAACATTGAACTCAATGTCAAGGGTGCCAAATCAGAGGACCGTTTCCTGTAAGCAAACAGAAGGAATGTGTTGTTTTCTTCTTAAGTTGCATTGGAGAAGATGACAATGATCTTAAAATGTAAATTTTATATTGAAATTACTGATAAATTTGATTACGATAATTTGAGCAATATGTGTTTTGATTGATAATATATTTTTCTTGTGTTTTTGTATCATCTTTTAATTCATCGCGTTTCATCTAATCGGCCCTTTTCCTTCACTTTTTAAGGATGATGGCATATTAGTAATTCCCACAGTGGCGGATCCTCCACCTAAGCTTCACTTGAAGAAAGGTCTTGCTGCAGAGTTCCATGATAGAGTATATGCCTTGTTAAGTATAGCAACTATGTCTGGAGGTTGTCAGGTAATTTTGTAAGGCAAAGTTCTTCAGCTTCTTCTCCACAGTTCTCACCATTTTTGCAACCTAATTCCACTCTTTCATGATCAAAGTTTACTATTTTTACCTCATCTTTATGACTCTCTCGTGGCATTCTCTTTCTACCACTATTATCAGTTCTTTCTTTTGGCCTTCTTACATACAGGTGACTATTCCATTGGGAAAACATGAGGATTCTCCAATCTCTG